TAAAACAAATTTGATGATGGAAATAGAATTGAGTTATTAGAATTCTACCGATAATAAAACTCTATATAACAATTTTATCTTATAATTAAAATTTATCCAAAAATCGCTTACTTAGCATTATACGTGTCACAATAATACCTATTTATCGGCTACGTGGCGCGACATTTGGCGAAAAACTGGAATGTCAAGTGTTGGTGTCTCTAGCCTGGCTGCAAGACCGGCTTTATTTATTTATTTATTTTTATTTTTTTTGACAATAGCAAAAGAAATAGACCGGCTTTATTTTTTAGTGATATATACGATATGATACGTTGTGTTTTTATACAACTAATATTTTTTTTCTTATTTTTGTGATAAAATTTGTTACTTTATTTATTCGTTGTACAATATCATATTATCATTTAATATTTTTATTTTATTTATTTAAAATAAATTGTGAATTTTCTCTTATTCATTATATATTTAAATGAAATTCTTAATATCAAAAGATAATATTTTATATTTAATTAATTTGAACTTTAAAATCTCATTCGCTAATTTTACTTATGGCTTTTGAATTATTTAATTCCAAAAGAAATTACAAATCTCTTATTTAATTAGAGTTAATGCCTATTTATAATAATAACAATTCATAAGATGAAATCATATATATATATATATATATATATATATATATATATATATATATATATATATATATATATTAGATAGATTGTAACAAAAATGGTTTCAATTTCCCCATAAAATTATTAAATCACCGATTTTTATTGTTTATTTTTTATCATTGTTTTTGGCTGTTAGAAAAGCTTGGATTGTCATAAAGATTCTACTAGAAAAAAATATAAACATAAAAAAAAAGAATCTCCTAATTGTACAATGGACTAACTATGTAGGGCCTAATTAGGCTGAATTAGATTGATTGGCAATAAGGCGGCACCGGCCTTGAGTTTGGTTTATAGCCTTTTTCTCTTATTCCTTTCTTAGCTTGCTTACTTGGAGTTAATTTCAACGAATTCCTGAGTTTTCATTGAATACTTCCCTATATGCTTTGATGACATCTTCAACAAATTGTCTAAGGATGAAATCATCTTAGTTATCCCCACGGGAAGTTCTATGTGATCCATTATGATTATATCGCCAGTAAAAGCGACCTATGCCTTGTAGGCTAACGTGCTGTGTCAGCGTGTCTTGTGTTCAAGTGCGTTATGCCTAAAACTAATAAAACGGGACAAAATTAGTCTTGTGGTACCGGGGTCGTTCTGCCCTGCAAACCCCTATTTTTCTCAAAATTGAAAAAAATAATAATAAGTGGACCGGCCTGTCATACGGGCTCGTGCCAAATTTTAAAGATACATGTTCATGCACAACCTATGGCCCACATATGTGTATCTAGTGCCATATCGGATTTGAGATAGGTTGGGCCATTTTTCGTGCCGTGTCTGACAAGCCTTCATGCCAGTTCGACCTAAGCTCATCTCTAATATATTTGTTATATCTTAATTTGTGTTGTAAATGTTTATGGCTTGAATGAATCTATTGTACTTTAAAATAAAAAAGTCGACAACAAGGTCGGTTGATACGAGCAAAAACCAGTCTCATTCACCTTACCTTATAAAAAATAAATAAAAGGGTGTCAATTTAATAAATAGGAGTTGAGCAACACGCATTGTCAAAGCATACAGTAGGAGAGGAGTACTAGTGGTAAGAGGTAGGATGGTAGTGGCTGGGATTATTTGGAAGTTAAGCTAATTGGGGAATACCGGTAAGGTTTAAATAGTGGCTGAGATTTTTTGAAAGGTAAGCAATCTCAATTCCATTATTTTCTAAACTTGGACAATTTTTTATGACTTGTCTCCTAAGGGAAGTACCACTCATGTTTTTAAAGTTAAACCCATTTTACTCATAGTCTCATACTACTAGGAATTGAAGTGCTCTACTACTGTAGGAGTGACCAAAACCTTGATTTAGTTACGTATTGTTAAAGTTACTACCTATAGATACGTAAACTTTACTTTCAATATATATTTTTTTTTTTTACTATTTTTTTTAATCTTCTTTTTATCTTGCATTTCTTTTTAAAATAAGTGTTGTTGAATATTACTCCCTTTTTATTTTTATTTTATTTTTATTTTTTAATTTTTAAATGCATCAGTTTGACCGATACATTTGTCAAGATATAACTTTGATCATTAATATTTTTAATTCTTTATTAGTAAAAATTATAACAAAATTATATTGTGAAAGTAGACATTGTGACGATTCTAATGATATATTATATAATAACATTTATTTATTTTATAATAGCAAAAAAATTAAGTCAAACATGGTATGTGAATAGTGTAAAAGTCAAACTGATGAATTTAAAAAAAAAAAAACGGAGGGAGTAGTTTATATTTATGTTCCATTTGATTTTCACTTGTCAAGTCTAGCTTTGCAGGCTACGCTTAATGAGAGTAAAAGGAAAGGATAAGAGAATCTCTAATCCCTAAAGAGCTTATATTGAGTTTAGATATTATGATTTTCAAGTTATGAGATCGAACTCTTATCATTACGCTAAAGTGATGCTCATGTTTTTCTTAGGCTAATAGACTGAGACTAGTAAGTAGTCGAGAGTAAAATACCAAGAAAGTTATTGTCACCCTAGCTATCTTATGTTAAAATGGCCTTCAACTTTCATGGCATGTAGCATGTTAAAATTGGCCCTACATTTTCTCAAACTATCAAAAGTTGCCATTAAGAGTGAATGAAAATTAAACTGTCAAAGTTTGGAGGTCAACTTATTGTACAGTTGGTTGAAGTGAGGTGACTAAGTATTTTTTGCCTCAAAGTTTCCAACCATTTTAAATCAAAATGTCGCTAGCTAATCATAGTTCTATGGACTATGGAGTATATGGAAAGATAGAAATGCCTCTATTTTAATGAAGAAACCTTATAATGAATATCAACAAAGTTTTCATGTTTATGAAACTCCTATCCAAAATCCACATCCAAATAATTCTACTTTTCCTAAAGCCAACATAATTTATTAACTTGTTGCATGGGAACCTCAAACAGGCTACACTAAGCTCAACTTTTGATGGTTTGGTCAAAGCAAGGCTTCAACAAGGGTTGGAATCAAGAAGATACAAATTGAGGGCGACGACCTTCTTGTAATGAACATCATATTGAGCCATTGAGGATGACAAGCCCTTTGTTAGTCTGACAGCTTGACTTAACACAAACGAGGTTTGCCTACGTAGTGTATCGTCTGAATTAAACCATGGGTTTCGGTTCCAAAATTACCATCTTAGCTCGATACAACACGAATTTAGTGATTTTATGCCCGCGCCACCCCATGCACACCGCTATCGAAAATCTTGACCTAAGTCAGCCACATGTATATTGGTCTCATATCCAATGAACTAAATTGTCTCATAACAAATATCCAAAATACACCCTCATATTAGCAGAACATGATTCCAAGGACAATGAGACATGAAACAACAAAGATGCCATCTCTATTTGTCAGCTTCAATGTATTTCCAAATAATCTACTAGTTCAAAATATTCTCCCTTAAATCGAAACACAATCCATTTTGTTGCTTTGTTTCGGTGTATAATTGGTCATTTCAATGATTTCGTGCTCAAACACCACCTGAATAATGACCTTATGTTCATGTACAAAAAAGTTTCAATAAAATTTTTCTTCTTGGTTTCAAGTGTTATAACACTTTCCTGCGAGCTCTCTAGTGTTTGGATGGGACAATTTATGACCAAGTAAATTTTATTGGCCTTGCATTTTCTTTTCTTCCTCTATTTCAAGACTCCGGTGCTCGGGTCCAAGATTTTCTAGCTCAAGTTGTAGTTCAAAGCATCATACTTGTAGCCTAAGACAGCGCTCACACGTAACTACCTCACTAATTTGAGTATGGAGTACTCCGTAGATCATTACCTCACTAAATTTGAGTACTCGAGTATGGAGTACTCCGTCGTTCATTACACCCTTTATCTCCTTTGGTTTGCTCCACAACGATAATTACTTTTAAAAATTTTGGTTGGGTAGAGTTGGTAAGAGAGAAAATTAGGGGATCAAATGCAGTGAACGTAAGAATCAAAAGGACTCAGATAATTTATTGTATGGGACTAACTCAAAAGGGATAAAGCATAAAAGTAAAATGGGCAGACTTGGAAGAGAGGATGGTGATGGGGGTAGGCATGGAGGACCATTAAACATGGATGAAGGGTAGATCTGTCTTTTTTAGTAAAAAAAAATTACCAGTATTTCGTCCCTTAGAAAGATTGCCCAATTTTCATTTTAAGTCCATCTTTAAAAGATTGCCCAATTTCATTTTAAGTCCATCTTTAAAAGATTGCGTCATTTAAATTAGTTAACATAATTCCCACAATCTCTATTTACTATCCGTCTACCCCACAGTAAAAAAACTCAACAGTCAACACAACTCTTATAAGATGAAAGATGTGGATGTGAGTCATGGGACAAACTCGAAGGGATAGAAAGAGTATAACTCAAGACAATTGTAGGAGATCATTCAGGCAAGTCTCTAGAAATACAAGGGACAGTTTTGTTCAAATTGACACAACCCAAAACCCTAATACCAAAGCACTACCAAAACTTGAAAGCTCATGAATAGTGTGATTCAAAAATACACTTCAAACCCAAAATTAAGACTTGACCAAACCAAAAGGGACCTATTAAAAATAGCAAGTAATAGAAACTTCATTCTTTTTTTTTGAAGACAGCAACTTATTCAATTATACAACATCAGTGAAATTAGAAAACACACTATATAATGGGTACAAAAATACTATTCAAAAGTCCAAAATTCAAATGTTAAATCAACTGGGGCATGATGAGTAGTTAAAAAAAGACTGAAAAAATAAACCCTACAATAAATTACGGAGTATTTAAAAAACAACACTAATGTATACTATAACACATAATATAAAGAACTACACTTAACAGTTGAAATAAAAACATTAAAATGTAAAACAAAATCTCAAATCAGAAAATGTGTTTTCTTTTGTCTGAAAATCGCCTTTGTAGGTAATCAATACAATGTACAATGGAAAACTCCCATTCAAGACAAATTCAATAAGGAGGCTAACAAAACCCTTAATTCGAGCTTGATGTATGAAGGACCAAACTCCTATCATAGTTAACAAACCACCAAACGAAGTTACAAACGAAATATCATTAAATTGCAGTTACAAGCACCCAACAACAGTAACAATTCTGTTCCTTAATATCCTACAATATCCGTAGTAACTAAGCTTAACTTCATCTCAACCAAACTAAAATTATACAAGACTTTAAAAGTTCCACCAAACTGGTATGTTCCTAGAGGAGAGAGAAGGGGGAGGGGGGGGATTTAGGCCAACAATTTCAGAAACACAACTTAGAAGCACTTACGATGAACGATTGATGGGCCAGACTCATCATACTCACCCTTGGAGATCCACATCTGCAAAATATAGAGAATATATATTAATGTACTACCCTGAATAACTCTACTAATTTCCCTCGATAGAATCATGAAGGCATTGGAATGTTGTACAAGCAGAAAAGGGAGAAGGGGCAGTACCTGTTGGAATGTGCTAAGCGATGCAAGGATAGATCCTCCTATCCACACACTGTACTTTCTCTCAGGTGGAGCAACAACCTTGATTTTCATGCTATTAGGGGCAAGAGCAGTAATCTCTTTGCTCATACGATCAGCGATACCAGGGAACATAGTTGAACCACCACTGAGCACGATGTTACCGTAAAGGTCCTTCCTGATGTCGACATCACATTTCATGATGGAGTTGTAGGTTGTTTCATGGATACCAGAAGACTCCATACCGACTAGTGAAGGCTGGAAGAGGACCTCTGGACAACGGAATCTCTCAGCTCCAATCGTGATCACCTGACCATCAGGTAGCTCGTAGTTCTTCTCTATCACAGAGCTGCTCTTGGCTGTCTCTGATTCCTGTTCATAATCAAGAGCAACGTAGGCTAGTTTCTCTTTAATATCACGGACAATTTCCCGTTCAGCAGATGTTGTGAACATGTAACCTCTCTCGGTGAGAATTTTCATGAGATAATCAGTAAGATCACGACCAGCAAGATCCAGACGGAGGATAGCATGAGGAAGAGCATAACCCTCGTAGATTGGCACAGTGTGGCTCACACCATCACCAGAATCGAGTACAATACCTGTTAAGACGACAAAAAAATTCAGGAAACAAGAAGAAAACAAAAATGAGAAGGAAAAAACAGAGCAAAAGCAAAAATTTATATAGTCAGAAAGTAGAAACATTTAAACATCTGAAAGAAAGAGAACAATGACAGCAGAACAGCAGATGGCTACAAGACCTACAACATCCGAAGTATAATTTTAAAAGAGATCATTAGAATACATAGGTGGGGCTTTTTAAGACAATATGGTCTAAGTGAGGTGAGAAGCTAGAAGGCTAGAAGTAAGAAAGGTTATAAAAATCAGGTTCATCACTTTGTTCACCAGGTGATTCTAAATGAGATTGAGAAGGTTCTGAAATGCAGTGATATGCCCTTTTATCAGATTTATGTAATTTCCATGCAATGAAGTTTGTCAGCATAGAGGAACAAGCAGAAAAAATAGGAACATAATCAGGCTGGCAAGAGTTTTGACACAGAACGTATTGAAAATGGGACATGAAACCTTCATGAAGGTTCTGTGCAATGAAAATTTTAACGTAGTAGAAATGCGGAATCACCAAATAAATGGTACGATACAAAGATCAATGATTTGTGATTAAATCACTACCAACCTGTAGTACGACCACTAGCATAGAGTGAAAGAACGGCTTGAATGGCAACATACATAGCAGGAACATTGAATGTCTCAAACATAATCTGAGTCATCTTCTCCCTGTTAGCCTTGGGGTTCAGTGGGGCCTCAGTCAGCAAGACGGGATGCTCTTCAGGAGCAACACGAAGTTCATTGTAGAACGTGTGGTGCCAGATCTTCTCCATGTCATCCCAGTTGCTAACAATACCATGCTCAATTGGGTATTTCAATGTCAAAATACCTCTTTTAGACTGAGCTTCATCTCCAACATATGCATCCTTTTGGCCCATACCAACCATGACACCAGTGTGCCTGGGACGACCAACAATACTTGGGAAGACTGCCCTTGGTGCATCGTCTCCAGCAAACCCAGCCTGCCAAGGAAAGTACATCACATTAATTCAAAACTCTTCAAATTTCTCAAAAAACATTATAAGTAAGCTATATAAAGGGAAAAAATACAAAATAAAATGTCACCTTAACCATTCCGGTTCCATTATCACAGACAAGGGGTTGAATATCCTCTCCGTCAGCCATCCTTCTTTATACTACACAAAAATAGTGTAAATCAAAAGGTTAAGAAAACATCAATCCCAAAAACTAATCCCTTACCGTACCCTACACTTCTTTTAAACTAATCCCAAAAACTTGAATGATCTGTTTAGATTGCTTCAAATGTAATGAGTAAAATGCCTTTTCGGAAAAAATTAACCACTTGTCTTTTGAAAGAAACTTCAGATATACAAAATATCCAACTTTAAGAAATCATAAATGGCTCATAGACTGGATCTAATTTCTAGTTTGTTGAAATTTCAAAATTAACACCTTAGTTGAAATAAAATAGTATATCTATCACGAAGTAATGTTAGACAAGCAAAATGTGATGGAAACACAATGTTAATATATTTTCAACAGTTTACTTAATCTGATAGAGACTTAAAATTCAGAAAACTTAGGAGAAATACGTACTTTTTGATCTCATATGGTGAAAAAATCAACCTGCAACTAACTTATATTTGAACATACAAGAGAATTCCCAATGGAGCTCAAAGTAAAGAGCATATTGTAGATAGTTTAATTCTTATGCAAGGGCAACAATATGTAGACTTTCAAATTCAAGTAACACAAATGCTTCTTCGACATTTGCATCATCTATAAATCTATAATGATTAACATTTTCTCTTCCTTGTTAATATTTCACATTAAACATTATAACCCAAAACCACCATCATCCTAATGAAAATTACTCGCCTTTTAATGATCTATAATGAAATGCAACAAAATAATGATACTACAACTTTCAACAGTCAAAACAACATTAACTTTGATCCAATCAAAGAGAAACCAAACTACACACTAGCAAAATCAAGAGCCTCTAATATAACTGCAACATCAACATCCGTATCCCTGAATAGTAACCCTGACAAGTGCCTAACACTTACATAAGGTTGTTGGTAGAGTGGCTACAAATCGCACCTCCCCACCTAGCCACTCATGAGCTTAAAGTCCATTTCTCCTCAACTTAATATCCATGGTTAGGGAAGGTGGCCTCTTTGGGTCTTTTGTTTAGTTTCCAGACTTGGGCCACTTATCTCATTACCAAGATCCAAATGGGCTAGGATTCCAGGAACACCGGTTATTAAAACAAAAAAGGGAGATAAGACAAGAATAAAGCTAGCATGAACAACGACTTTCTGCAAATTTTTACAGGTTCACCTGTTGTTAGCTCCTGCTTGTTTGCCCATGGGAAATTAAAACTAGTTACGCAAGACCTATATGGATCAAGTGACTCGAGATACTTGACACCTCATTTTGGATTAGAAGCAAACAGAATTTCCACAAAATGTTAAATTTGTAGACTAATTTCACATCTAAGGGTCCGAGATAACGTTGATTGGAGCACAACACATTCCAATAGTACTCTGTACTGGGAAGTGCATCTAATTCTCCCCTCACTCTGTTATCAAAAGTCAAGCAGTACACCACATACCATACATCACTTCACATGTTCTACTGCATCAAAAGGAGCTATTGAACCAACTCAATTAATACACATAGGACTAGAGCCAAAAGATTAAACAATCAATCCCTTAGATTCAAAACATATGACGTCGTAAAAGAAGAAACTTCATCCATTATTCTCTCAATTTTATTTCACAAAAATTAACCACGCAATATAATTTTAAAATTTTAGATAAAATGTATAATTGTAAAAATTACCAGTCAAAGTTATATTTCATAATTCCAAGGGCACCTCATATTACGAAAAGGACAGCGTTTAACACAAAAATCCAACCTACCAACCAACAAGCCGAAAGCTACCGGTTATGACTTACGATTATATACAGCTAACAATCAATCCAAAAGCTACCGGTTACAACTTACGATTATATAGAACTAACAATCAAGCAGAAAGCTACCAGTTATGACTTGCGATTATATAGAACTAACATTTAAGCCAAAAGCTACCGGTTACGGCTTACGATTATATAGAACTAAAGGCGGCGGTGTACCTTACACATTTAGACCTCCCCAAACCCCACCATAGACAAGATTCTCTAGTTATCTTTTTGGGAGTTTACATGCAAACTACTACGGAGTATTCTGATTTACACCTCCATAAATCACTCAGAAAACTACAACAAATTCCAACATACTGTTTAACCTAAAACCCTTAAAACAAACAAAGAACAACTCTTTTTTATACTGTACTAATATTTTTGGTTAGATTTTAATAAGCTATGTTTTTATAATTATATTAATTCAAGCAAAACATAACAATAGATCAGACCAACAAAATTTCTACAAATTTATACATTATTTCAAGCTCATGCACGAAAATCGATTAAACAAATTCATTTTTACAAAATTATAAACACAACAAATTCAAAATTTAAATCAACAGAAACATGAAAAATGTTAAACAAGATTTAAAAAACAAATTGAAATGATATCATAAAAATAATAAAAAAAAAAATCCGAAATTAGTAAAAAGAATATACCTTTAGAGTAAGGAAGATGCCCTGCAAAATGAAGAACAGAGAAGAGAGAGAGTGAGAGGAGAGAGAAAGAGAAGAGAATTGGAGAGAGTGACAACGAGATTGGCGGAATATATTGATGGTGCGCTGTCGTTTTATTCAAATGTTTTTGAATCAGGGAATAAATCCAAAGTGTATCAATTTGTGTGTTATAAAAAAAAAAATCAAATTAAGGTTTTCATATTGGCAATTTAGGCAAGCCTAATGAGTGTAATAATAATTATCATTACATTGAGGTGTTATTGTCATAGACATAATTAAAGGAAATTGTAATTATTTTTTATGATCCAACAATTAAATGACTTTATCTTGTACTCTGTAAAACATGGATATAGGATGAGAATGTTTTATGTTGCAACGATAATACATTTTAAGAGTCAGGCTCTATTTGGAAAAACTAGCGGTAGCGGGTAGCTGTTGAGGTAGCGACTAGCTGTCAATTAGTAGTGGGTAGAGATTAGCTGTGAAAGTAGCGGTTGATAGTATGGGTGTTTGGCAAAAGTAACGGTTGCATTACTAAAATATATTAATAATAATATAAATTGTTTAAAAAAAGTTTTCAAAAATTAACAAACGCTACCCGCTACTCTTAAACACTTCTATTTTTAACGTTTGAGAAAAGCTACCTAAACGCTAATCGCTACTCACACCGTTACCTTGACAAACACTCTTATTTTTTTTAGGTCAAAACACTAACCGCTACCTCAAACGTTACTACCAAACAGGACCTCAGTTTAAGTTATAAATTTGATTTATAAAGAGGATTACGAACCTAGTTTAAGTCGTAAATATAATTTTCAAGGGCTAAGCCAAGGGGTGTATATTTTGTCCATTTCTTTGTCCTTAAAGACAAATCATATGTCCCATACTCTCATGAGTCCATGACTAATAAAATTATTGTAGAAGTAATAAATAAACAAAATTAACCTAATCATAAATAAAATTGCCTTCTTTCAAAAAGAAAAAAAATAAATTAAAATTGCTAAATGACATCTATTGGTATCTCTCCAATGTTAAGGTGATTATTTTTTATGATCCAACAATTAATTATATGTTTATTTTTTATTTTTTATTTTTTATGATCCAACAATTAAATGGCTTTACCTTGTAAAAAGGCAGATTTTAGATTGAGATAATATAATACGTAATACTCCCTCCGTCCCTATTTTTTTGCTCCATTGCCACAATATGGGTCAAACTTAGAAAACTTTGACTATATATTTCCGTCGTTTTACTAAATGAAGTATAGTCATGTGTGATCTTGTTTGGTTCGTCTCATTGTAAATTTAATTAATATCAACTTTTTATAATTTTTACGCGTATAAAAATGGAGATATAAACGTTTTAACACGTGTCTTAGAGACCGCGCACAGTCAAATGGGGCAAAAATAAAGGGACAGAGGGAGTACATTTTAGGAATTCGATTTAAGTCACAAATATGATTTACAAAAGGGGTTAGGAACACGGTTTAAGTTATAAATATGATTTTCAATAGGTGTATATTTTGTCGAGTTCTTTGTCCTTAGGGACAAATCACAAGTCATGGCTAACAAGCCATATATAGTTTCTTGCGTGTGGATCATAGATATAATAAATAAAGAACATTAACCTAAACGTAAACAAAAGTACTTTATAGCTACCAAAGGTGTAGAGGGGTCTATGATCCATCACTCCAATGTTATAATATGACTGTTTTTTCTTCTCTTCTCCTATGTGGGACAACATATTCAAGGCTCCACACTCTAATAAAAATTTTATTGCATGATTCTTGTCTAATAATCTTACAAAAATAAGCCAAGTTCAACAATAAATTGCTTCAAGAAATATAAAGCCACTTTATGATCTAAAAGTAATTTATTTATTTATCATAGCAATATAAATTTTCCTCCCTTCTTTTCCTACAAACATCTGAAAAATTAGCTGACAAGAGCCAAAAAATAAGAGACTAATGTAAATCTCTCTTCTATATATCCCTTTGAGCGCAACAGAGCTAATCCAATCACCTATTTCCCAAAAAAAAATGTGTTTAAATTGTATATTTACATGCATAAGCAATGAATTTGAAACTAACTAAAGAATTAGTAGGCATCAGCAACTGGAGCTTCGAAACGAATGTAGTCATACAAAATGCCTCTCCAAGGGCTAAGACCCCAAACTTGTGTCAGGAAAATGGTATTATTTCCCTGCACTAATTTGCTGCCTGGTATGGTCACACTGTAAAGCCAATATAGTCCATGGATGCCGTGCCTAGCAATCGTGTTGTCGTGCCCTATTAGTCCTGATGTGAATAACAGAGGATTTTCATGTTGATCATTAATCCTAACCTGTAACGTAGGATGCACATATGAATTAGTCAGTGCATTAGGATTGCAGAATTGTATCAGAGGATGGGGTATTACAAAGAATAGCATTTGCTAGATACCTGTAACTCTGAATCAGTTGCTGATGCGAGTGATAGTCTCAAGTAATAGGTTCCAGAGGAGATGAGTTTATCGAGTTGGAATTTGATCTGCCATGTCGTTCCTTGATACATGTTGCTTACGTTCCTGAAAGAGTTGGATCAAAGCTATGTGGTTAGGCGATCAGGTATCAACCCAGCTAGTCCGCCTTCAAACAAAGAACTCATCTAGTCTAGTCCCAACATGTTGTGCATATGATCATTAGAAGTGTACTTTAGACAACTAACCAAAGAAGAGTACTTAGTAAATAACAGATGAGAGGAGAAAGCGAGTAGGAAACTTTACCTAGTAACTTGAGCAAAGAACCAATCTTTCTGATAGTTGCTAACATTAACAGTATAAATTAAATCTTCGTCAGGATACAAATCTGTATACCTTTGCCATAAACCATACTGTCGATACCTGTGTTAAGAACAAGATAAGATCATCTTATATTACACTTAATCTTTGTAACAATGGATGTGCATTCTGTTTTTAAGTATTGAACAGCGAACAAGAACAAGTATTTACAGGAAAATATCAAGATTATAAAGTGAAATCGTTCCTATAGTCCATGTAAAACTAACCTGTCACGCGTCAGATAGAGTTTATTGACAAGTCTCGGATCAGGATCAGGAATAAAGAATTCTGCAGCAGAACGATCTGGTATGCCAATCTCCCACAATATAGGTCCGTCTCTTGGATGATCATACACAAGATCACCCAGATCAATAGCATGTCCTGTTTTCCAAGAAAATATTACTTGCATAAGCTTTAAAACCATGAACTTTTTGCTCGTCTTTATACACACTCCTATGATACAGATAAGAGTATAAGACCTGCTGTTATATCAACTGAGTCGTTGTATTTGTAATCTCCTATGAAGCCGGGAACCCAACCATAGAGATTGTAGCTTCCAGGCCGTATATTTTCTATGGTGAAATGACCTTTGTCATCTGTTGTTGTCCAGAATTGATATCCCTAGAAAGAGATCATCTTAAATAATTGGTAAAAAACTCAAATTAATGCAGCTAAGAAATTAGTGAGTTTTGTTACTGTGAACATATCATGAAGTTGGAATCTTTATGTAAAAGAACTTAAGTTACCTTGCTCTCTCTTTGCCAGGATCCAACTTCTCCTGGAGCTGCAAGCCCTACATATGCTTTGTTTGCTGAAGTATTCGTTTTGAGATACCTAGTAATATGGAGTATAAAAGTACATCAGTTTAAATTGACTGAATTGGAGTACAGAAGTTATATATAGGAACAAAATTCATGACACAAAACACCAAAATAAAGAGTATATTTGCCCATTGAAGTGTTCACTAACCTATCATAGACTAGTAAGCTACCAACATAGGATATGAGGGTAGATGCACCAATGAATTGAAAGTAGCAATTTTGTAATTTTGGTAACTTTAATAATATTTGATTTGATTATTCTTTGGTAACTTTAATAAAATTTGATATTTGATTATTCTTTGGTAACTTTAATAATTTGATGGATTAGCAAGGCAAAACCAAATCAGCACGTAATCATTCTTTAACTAATTTTGATGATTAATTTGTCACTTGATTCATATTGCTTTGATCATAATCATGATTTAGAAAGCATTGTATGTACTGTGGTAAAAATTTATAAACCTGTTGTGTAAAAAAAAAAAAAAAGAAAAAAAGAAAAAAACCGATGTTATGACTCGCTTTGTATGCATCATGAGTGTTTAAAATAGGAGAAATTTTGCCAGATAAAATGTTGACCAAGCTGAGCTCGAGCAACTCACAAGCAACATGGACAACTATTATCTTTTGGCTATTGACACAATAATAAACGGGTGAATATTTGTTATTCTTTCTACATGAAATTCTTGTTTAAATTACATTCAATTTAGGTCATGTTCACTTCACGTCTTCACCTAAAAAAAATATTCAATAAAAAATAATTTCAATTCAGTAAAATAAGTTCATTTCAATAAAAAAAAAAAATTCAGTTCAGTAAATTTTAGTATGTTTAAAAAAGAAATATAATAGAGAATTAGTAAAATGATTTCAGTTCAGAAAAAATAATTTCATTTCATCGTCAGTAAAATTAATTTCAGTTTAGTAAAATAATTTCAATTCAGCAACAATAATTTCAGTCGAATGAAAATAATTTCAATTTAGCAAAGGTAAGATGAAGTGAACAAGCTAAGTTATTAGCTCATATATAATTTATTCTAATTCCTTTTCTACCAATCAAGTAATAAAATCAAATCGATATTACATTTAAAGCTCATATCTTTGACCTTAAATAGTGAGATTAATGTAAAAGATTCTAATCAACACACACATTAATGATCAAACCAAATTTCTTGACTTCTTGAGAACTTACGAATCTGAATTGCTTAATTATTTTTTGAGGTAGGAAAACAATAATAAACTTGAAGAACTATATATACTTTGGGATTGTTGTGAAACTTACAAGTTACAAATGTTACTACTCAATTGGGAACACGGAATAAAGGGAAAGAAACATACAAAGTAAAGGTGACAAACATTAAAACAAAATGGATAAAAGGGTATGGGATGTACATTTGTTCTTATATGCAAAAAAAAAAAAAAAAAAAAAATAAAAATAAATTGTTTAATTATCATCATGTTTACTTTGTTAGCAATTTTCTTTTTGAGAAACATTAGGGGAAGCCATTGGAAGGCAAAATTCTTATAATTTACTAAATTAAAATAATCCCGAGGTATAATTAATAATTATATAAAAAAAAACACATGCTAAAACAAAATCATAAAAATACAGCCGTAATTTGAGATATTTTATAGAAAACATTGATAATCTACTTATCATATTTTTCTCTTTAAAAGTTTTTCATTATGTACCTTCAGTGTATAAAAAAGATATATAAAGACAAATGGACAATAATATAAACGAGAATTAATGTAATCATATTATGTTAGCGGAATAGCGGGTACCGACATACAACAATTATCCCAAGAATTTACCATATTGCAGTTGTTAAGTAACATTACTGATGGAAACTTGACAACTAATACCCGTAATAGACCTAGTTGTACATAATCATACCACGGACTAGTTCACTAGTGCACACAAAATCTAATTGTACTAAATTGATGTTCAACAGCTAGAAAGCCAAAAACTGGCATTCTAATTGTCCAAGTCCACATAATAGAACTTTATGGACAATTATTGTGGCGCTTTTATTTTAAAACAATTGCTTTTTTTTATTTTTTATTTTTTATTATTATATAGTTAGCTATTATACGTATGTCTAAAAGATAATTTTGATCAAAAACAAAACATTGGTACATTTTTTATTTTAATCTCTTTTTTTTTTCTGAAAAAGATAACCAGTAGTTGAGGATGACAAGGCCACTGACTTTATACATCCTTACTAGTATAGACAATTAAGTACGATAATTTTTATACCGTGTTACAAAAAAGTACCGAGTAACATCCAAAATTGGTGTGATCGAGGTTATCATCAATAGTTACAAATGCACTTGTGGTTAAGACAAAGCCCATGTCACCTACTTATGCAATTGATAGACCCAACGTAACAACGAGATACATATAACATATTAACATCCTTAATTCGACTAAGTTAATTAATTAATTAGAGAGGAAACTTAGATAATGAGAAATAAAACTTACATGAAGAAGATGAAGATGTACTCCTTGTAATGGCGTAGGCAAATCATACAACATATTCCAATAGCCTTCAACTTGAAATTGGACCCTCCTTTTTCTCTTTCTGCTTCCAAATTCATATACTATACATGTAAATTACACACATATATATACACACCATATAATAATACAATACCAATATTTTACAAAATAATATACACGAAGTACATATATAATTAATATTCCTCACTTTCTCTCTCTAAAACTCGTAAATTAAATTACATACCTGAGGGTTGTAGTAGTATGCATGGAGGAGAAAAATGGAGGGGTAGGAAGAAAATGGGATTTTATAGTATAAGGTGGGTATGTAATGGGTATAGATAAAAGAATGTTTGGCAAACCAAATAATCAATAAAAAAATTTATCTAGTTTGGGAGAAGCCTTCACATTGAATTAAAGCATTCTTACTATACATACTAAAACTAGTGTTTTTTACTTGTATTTTATTTCATCTTTCTTGTAGTTTACTCTTTCAAATTGAGCCTACTTTTCTTGTTTAGATTCTGTTGGTAAAATAATAATATTATTGAATATTGGAGAAATAAGAGTCACCATCTTAGCTTAGTTTCTTTCCTAAACTCAACATGCTGCTGTTGTGAAATGGAAAGCTAAGCAAGAGAGAGAGAGAGAGATGTACTCATGTACACGTTATACGAACTAACTTTAGGTGTGTAGGTTTAGTTGGTCCATGACTTTCTTGGCCAATGAAAGTCACATTATAAGAAGGATCTAACTGTGCACCGTTGTTAGTTTTTTATACATTTACTTTTTGGCCGAGTATAATAACTAACAAGGAGTTATAGAGCGTGATGATGTGGGCGAGATTTGATATAATTTTCATGACAAGAATTCGTGTTTTTACAGATCGTTTTTGCATATGATTGCTAAAATTCATACCTTTTTCAGTCTGTCACTTGTAAGATTTTAATCAACAAGTGATTTTCCATATATGATATATCCTTATGTAATTCGATCTTGATAAATTTCTCATACAAATCAGTAATTAATGAGATAAAATGCCTAGCAAAAAAGGAAATAGAGAACGATCGAAATAGGCCTTATAGAATGACTTAGGTTCGTTCTTCAACTAAGCAATGTATAAAATTAAAAAAAAAACGGATCAAAAAGGCGTTTTGTATGCAAAAGAAAAAAAAAACGGTTATGTAAGACCACCGTACAGTTCTCTTTTCCGTAGTATTTTAGATGCATTATAGTGTTCATGAAGCACCATGCCAATTCCGATAGCTAATCAATTATAAGTATGCATATTAACATTCCCTTATTCTATTCTTCAAAAAAACATTGCCTAATTATAAAGTAACTTCATCACTACCTTAAAATCTCAAACTTATCATTTTATTTACAATTTAAAGTATGTTATGAATTTATGATTACTTGAAGCATAGCACGAAATAGTGTTCAAGTGTGAATCTAAGCATGTGACATTTTTGTTTGTCTATAGTTTTGGGGCCCTTAATATTTTGTGGTAGATAAACTTGCTCAAAGACAAAGTTGAAATATTTTTTTGTTTCAAAGTTGGTTTGGACTTTAGGAGTTAAGATTGTTTAGGACAAAATGAAAAGGTGTTATGGAATTTTCTGACCCGTGAATTGGTTTACCATGTTTCTTCAATGAAATTTGAGAGAGTGTAGAGTTATCACGATCCGAGCACAATTAGTCAATTACCAGAATACTAAGCCCTTTGAATTTTGGCCACTTGTTTAATTATTCTCATAAAAATTACATTTTTATTGTTTTCGTCCATTTTCGATCTATCATTTACTCCTTATTTTGACGATTAACATGTGACATTTTGATTTATACCAAATTAACAAAAAGAATCATAATCTAACTCAAAATTTTAATCAGGATTATGTTCAAAAGCGATATGATTGATCCCAAATTTTAGTGTATATAGTAAGAAAATCATTTATCATCTATTTATTTAATGATATTAAATAAAAAACATGAATTGAAGTAGCAAAAATCATAAGAGAAGAAAGGTCCATAGAATAAATTTAGTGCCTTGTATAGCACATATAATATCAACTTTGTTGCACTCATTGAGTGTCTTGATCACCTTACAACTTACTTCGTATTATATAGTTGTGGTTACTTAAATCAAATACTAGTTTCAATGCATCCCCTCTCTTCTTCATTTTTCTCTTAAATCGCTTTACCTAGAAAATATTTTTCATCAAAACAAATAAAACCAAAACAAAATAACTTAATACTTCCTATGTTCCAATAATATTACAATAAGGATAAAATTACGCATCCCAAAGCACAATTTATATGTTAAATATCTATAATTATATAAGAGTAAAAAGTATAACAAGTTGATATTTTGAAAGTATTTTACAAGATGAATTTAACAAGATCCCACATGACTATATTTATTTAACGTATGAATCATATTATGTGGTCAAACAAGAGTGGTGAATAGTGCAAAAGTCCACATGTTGCAATATTATTAGAACGGAGGAAGTAAGAAGATAAAAAGTCAGAGGAAGAAACTTTCTTACTGTATCACAATTCAAATAATTAACCGTGAAAAAAACATGTTAGCTATAACATGTGCTATGTAGTTTTGTATGCAAAACTTAAATCTTGAGTTTCACACTCAATACTTTATCGACTAAACTAACTAGCTTATATTTACCTATCACAAATTAATCTCAAACAACCGTTTGTTGTCTAAAATTATTTTCTAAAGCTTCTTCATGAACTAATTAATAAGTGAAGGGTGAAGCAAAAGGCAGAGCACTAATAAACAGGAAAATGTATGTGGTTTGGTAAAGTTTCGTCTACATATCTAGTTCAATTGGTAAAGTGTCACTACTGTAAAATGTAATTAGTTGAATTAGTCTTTGATTAAATAATAATGGAGCATTAGTTTAATTTGGTGACCATTAACTACCATTAGTTTTATTATGGCAAGCCAATAAGAACTTTTGTGCTACATTATGTCATGCCAATATACCATAAATCATGATAATTTGTCAATGAAACAGTTACTAGTTTCAACTAACTTGGTAGAATTTTGTCAAAGGTTAAAGATTCAATGGGATTGAAATGTCAACGCATTATTGAATTCAACTAAGTGTATTTAACTTTTTTGCGTTGCATTTCATCCATTAATGAATATATACACAAGCATACAACGAAGGTCAAAGTATTAATCGATGTAAAATTATGTTCTTTCTACCAAAAAATAAGTGACATATTATTCTTTTTTGAGTGTCTTAAAATTATGTGGCGTTAATTTTCAATTTATTTAAGGTGCAATATATATCTAATCTGAGGAAGGGTGAATTTTGAAGGTTGGGCCTACAGGTGAATATTGGAACACCTTCCCTGGTTTAGATGTTGGGCCTTAAGTAATTTCTTGGGCTTATGACAGTATTTGAAAAGCTTGAGAGTTGACTGTTTGAGGCCCAGATTAATCAACCTCTTTGATATTTTAGAATTGCTAAATATTAAGCTAATGAAAAAAAAAAATTAGCATGATAAATTCTTTAATTTAGACTTTTAAAACCCATTATTTGAGGTTTTTATTTGAAGTAAACCTTTTTCAAATTATATATATATATATATATATATATATATATATATATATGCTGAAATTAATTTTATAAAATTTAATTCTAAAAAACTAATCTTCTTTTTAATAAATAAATAAATAAATATGATCTAGAATGTATCAAAAAACATTAATGCTGAAATAACAACAAAAGGAAATGGACCTAAACATAAACAAACCAGCCACTTTATTTATTCATTTTTTTTTTCAAAGAATTTATTCATTTATTTAATTACAAGATTATGATACATCAGTTTATACTTCAGAAAAACATAAAATAATATCTAAAATATAATAGCAAATACAAGCGGTTATTAGATTGCTTTATTTTTATTTTTAAATAAAGGTAAAGAGATGCAGGATTATTTGTTCTGTATGTGCAGGCAAGGCACCCTCACTTGATAAAGTTCAAACCCCGGTTAGACTAGTCCATCTTACCAAGTGAGTCAATCCTTACTTCTTACTTGGCATTAAATTGCTTCCGTGGTAGGAGGTCCTTCAAGACGTAAATAATCATACAATATTCCTTGGAATGGGCTTTGGTTCCTTGGTTGAGTCAGAAACATAATATTATCGCCTTTTACAAGCTTTGAACCCTGTATGTCCACGTTATAAAGCCAATATAAGCCATGACATCCATGTCTTGCAATTGAGTTATCCCTCCCTATAAGTCCGGTTGTAAATATGGGTCGATTTGCATTTCGATCGTTCATCCGTACCTATAAATATAATAGGTAAAATTATTATTTGTAGCTCAATAAACAAACACATATACAGATATCAAAGGCTACACCATTATGGCTATATATACAAAAAGTGAAAACGGAACATTTATTAAATGAAGGGAACATAAAAGGACTTGAAAATGAGATGTTACCTGAACTTCAGCAAGGGTTGCAGAAGCAATTGCCAGCCTCAATTTGTAGATCCCCTTCTGATTCTACCTCATCCAATTTGAATTTGACTTGCCAAGTTGTTCCTACAAACCCGTTTTCTGTCTTCCTGTGTGACAAAATAAGCTAGGCTCTCTTAGTGGATCTTACACTTTGTGACGATGTTGTTACTTGGCAGCGAAAAATGTATACAACATATTCTTTTCACAGCTTTACGATCATATATGTATCAAGCAAGTAAAAGTGGTACAAGTTCTGTAGGAAAACTGAGACTACGTACCTAGGAACTTGAGCAAAGAACCAATCCTTTCGGTAATCACTTACACCAATAGTAAAAACTAGATCATCGTTCGGGTACAATTCTGTGTATCTCTCCCACAATCCATATTGCCTAAACCTGCCAAAGATTATGCAAACAGTTGTCAAACATGAGCAACTACATCATGTTGATTGTGTTTCTTCAACAGATTTTGTCTAAGAGATTGTGTTTTAAGTTTATAAGAAATTCGCTAACCTATCAGGATGATTAACGTAGAGTTGATTGACATAGTTAGGATTAGGATCAGGAGCAAAGAATTCTGCTGCAGTACGATCAGGAAATCCTATTTCCCACAAGGTTGGTCCATCTCGAGGAGGCTCATACACCAAGTCACCCATTTGGGCATCACATCCTGACATTAATTCAATACTCACAAGTTAAAAAAAATAGTAAAGAGTTGTTCTTAGCTGATATAGCATAAGCAACATTCCGTTCATGATACTACATGTAAAGAAAGATTGTTCAAACCTGCGGTTAT